TTTTTTTTTTTTTTTTTTTTTTTTTTTTTTTTTTTTTTTTTTTGGCGCAGGTTGTTTGTTTTGGTTCCTTTGTATTTTTGGTTCTTTCGTTCAAGATGGAATTTATGAATCCTGTTATTTGAGGCATCAATTGTTAGATCTCCACATATAAATGGATCAAAACGAAAACGAGATTCTGTCCACTTCCGCTTTATTTTTATTTAAGCTAGCTCACGCCTAATAAGTAACCCTTATTTATCATCTCTAGACATTGCCCACGCATCATCTTTTTATTTCATCAATCTCTACGAGCTCTCCAATTTATAAATAGAAAACCGTCAAGATCGATTGACAGCACGGCTTCTTATTTCATTTCTTGCGATATTTGTACTATTTGTACAGTAAGTATCTATAGTATGATTCGAATTTGATGGCTTCTCCTAGATATCAGAATTATCTCCGGGTGTATGCAAGCAAGGCTCGGGTGCGGGTATCATGACCCGAATTCCGGGCCCAAGCCCGCAAGCTGCGGGTCCCGAGTGGTTAGTCGGGTTGACTGTCAATCCATCAAGCTCACGCTTAAGCCAACACCAGAACGAGGAAATTTCAAATTGGTTTTCTCACATTTATAAAGTAGATTAAAGTTCACGGATCGTATGGCTACCTACCTACCTAGGTACCTATGCATCCTTCCTTTTTCTATAACAGTATTTGACTTCAAACTCCCGAGGTCTATTATAGATCTGCACCATCGTTATCAAGTTCACCTCAAAAATAACATTGCAATTCATCAGGAGCCTAAGGTTCTCAATGTGCTCACTTATTATCTCGGATTTATGAGCAATACATACTAGATAGATAGGTAGGTTGTGCGAACCCATCATCTGCGTGAGGGGTGGACGGTAAGGGGGTGATTCTTAATGTAGGGTGTAGAGAAGTTGATTGTTTATTATGTACGATCTTGAGGTTATATAAGCCCACCCAGAGCTCTAGTCGCACCTTCCATATTTAGTACTTAACAACGGGCCAAGTGGGATCATTGCCCATGTTTGCACGATGTATCGCGGGACTCATTTATCCACAACTACGCATTTCTGACAAGAAATACATTTCTGAGCATTAAGTTCCATTCGAATCTTGGGAATCGTGCTCGCTTTGTTGCGAGTTTATAGAAAATAGACTTCTACTTCATAGATTGTACGGCAAATATCTAAAATAGTATGTTTTTCAATTTTAATATCTCAAATAGCATAAAAACGTTTCATTTTGACCTTGAATAGTATAAATAAAAAAGGAGGTAGGTTTGTAGGTTTGTAGGTTTGTAGGTTTGTAGGTTTGTAGGTTTGTAGGTTTGTAGGTTTGTAGGTTTGTAGGTTTGTAGGTTTGTAGGTTTATAGGTTTGATAAAAGATTTGTACGATTTTTTTTTGGACTTAAATAATATATAAATTAGGACTGAAATAACAACATAAGCTATTTGAGGTCGAAATGGAAAGTTCCTATGCTAGTTGGGGTATTAAAGTTGAAAAACATGTTATTTCAGGTATTTGCCGTAAAATATATTAAGCATTATATTATTGTGTATCGAGCTAAGTTCTATGGAATCGGAGATTCCATATAACTTGGCTCGATGACTAAGCTAGTGTATGTAGAACTACTTTATATCAACAAAATATATAAAGTAATTTTGCCTTCGTCATCACGAGTTATGATAGATTGCGTATTGAATGTCCAATAATGCCATATATGATATCAGCCTACCATGCCATGCGGAAAGACGGGATTACGGACTTTTGCTTGATGGTGCTGTTGAATTTAGACATCTATCTTCGCCAATGCTTGCTTGCAGGTGTGCTTGATTGCCAGTGTGCCTTTTTCTCATTTTGACAAATGTACACAAATGGAATCGTGAAATTCGAGAGTATATATATATATATAAATCAAGACTTGTACGCCTTAACCGTGTCCGTGATATTAACCTTAGTTAGACCCTTTTATTCCTTGATCCATCATCCGTTTCAGTAGGTAGGATCACAACATGCGTCCCGTTTGTAATATTGCCGCATTACAGCTGCTGTCCAGCTCATCCATATCAACCTAGCTCGAGCACAAAGTCAAGCGTGGGGTCAATATAGGTTTACCTGTCTCCGCACACGCAGATGATGACTGATTCCGTAGGCGGCGGTATGGGTTGGACTGGTGCTACGACCTGCGTAACGGGATCTACTTGCACATATTCAAAGGAAGTGCGTATGATACCACCGTGTAAAACGATGGATGGATAAAGCTAAACACAAGAAGCCCTTGTACGTTGAGATTCCAACACGGCGTATCAGATTCGCTCGTGTGATTAGATGACTCCCGATGCGTGTCTGGGACTGCCGTCCCCACGATGACAACACCATTGAGTACCTCGAAGACCTCGACAGCTGCGGGAACTACGAGCACGGGCAGCGTCCATGACTAATTTGTTGCGCGTGGGAAGAAATATTTTGGCGTCGCTACGGATCAAGGGCTGGCCGTCTCACGACCGGCCGTCATGCGGCGATCATTCCATTCAAGCCGATTTCGGACAAGTGACGCCGGAAATAGCATGAAATGGGATACGATACTATCGAGGGTATGAATGCGCGGAACAAGTGTAGGTAACATGCGCCGACCATCGGGAGCATCGCAAAACAACTTCAACTTTGCGGATGGTGATTACTTAGTCCATTAGGCCGTGAGTAATGCAAAGATGATTCGCGGCCACACGCTCTGTTCGTCATTCCCGTTTCGCTTTTCGAGAGGGAGAACTGATATCCATAGGTTGGCATTCTCAATCCCAAGCTGGGTCGGCTCGGTTATATGATTATTGATATCGGCGGAAACTCTTACGGCGGTCCTTCCTTCAAACTCATATTACACCGGAGGTGACGCGATGGAAAGGATGAATATATGCATGGGTATGTCAATGTCATACATACCATCTAATTTATTTCTCAAATCGATAACCATTCTCAGGATATCATCAACGAAATCTTAACGAAGAAGGTTCTATGAGAACAAGCGTCTTCTACACAGTCCTAGGCGAAAGCTACATATCCATCGTCTTTAAGCCGCTCGAGCGGGCTGACCCGAACGCAAAGCTCTACATGAATGATTACAAGAACCAAGATTCTCCCTCGAATATTGCACGTCCAAAGCTAACGTGATTAAATAACACGGAATAATGTAGGTTCCGTTTGGATAAACTTCGGTATAAAATTTTGTATGAGGAATCTCGCTTTCATTTTCTAATGTGGAAGATTTCTTATTACAGAAAGCTAGATCAAAAATAAGAAACGTTATAGTCTATAGATTATTATGGTAGACTATAGATTATAGATTACTATACACTATAGTATGGTAGATGGTAGATGATAGATGATATAGGAGGAATTGATTAAGTGTGCTTTTCCGTTGGTTTTTCAGCTCGAAATCCTTCAAATTTATAATATATATATATAAAGTAGTAGGTTTTGATCGGAAAATTGATAAGCCCGATCCGAAATAAGCAATTTTGAAGAAGTTGTTGAAGTTTTCATAATTAAGTGATTTAATTGGGTGACAGGGGTAGCGACAGCGAGGTCTATATATCTACCCCACTTACGAATCTACGAACCTACAACCTATCAACCTACGAACCTACGAACCTACGAACCTACGAACCTACGAACCTACGAACCTACGAACCTACGAACCTACGAACCTACGAACCTACGAACCTACGAACCTACGAATCTAAAAACCTAAAAATCGTACGATTCCTTCCTCCGAACCTACCTCCTCCCTCCGATCCTACCTCCTCCCTCTAAACCTACCTCCTCCCTACGAATCTACGAACCTACGAACCTACGAATCTAAAAACCTAAAAATCGTACGATTCCTTCCTCCGAACCTACCTCCTCCCTCCGAACCTACCTCCTCCCTCCGATCCTACGAATCTACGAATCTACGAATCTACGAACCTACCTCCTCCCTCCGATCCTACGAATCTACGAATCTACGAATCTACGAACCTACCTCCTCCCTCCGATCCTACGAATCTACGAATCTACGAATCTACGAATCTACGAACCTACCTCCTCCCTCCAATCCTACCTCCTCCCTACGAACCTACGAACCTACGAACCTTAATTATAAGTAGGTTTTTACGGTACTATTAATAGCTTATTTATAACCTTTTTCGACACCCTCTCTTTTGCGGTAGGCTTGTTACATAATCTAGATGCAGCAAGCGATGCCAAAGTGACGACCAGCATGGTCGCACACGTGCAAACATGGATTGATTGCCCAAGGAATCCGCATTGACGGTATCGATTCACAAAGCCATGCATCTTCCAGCCGGTCAAGGAACAACAGTGCTGCACCGGGTGCATTAACCGCAACCGCACTTGCGGCTTCGGGACAGCTCGGTTGCGGTGACGGAATTAGATATCGTAGGCGCGGCCGCTGATTATGTGAACCTAAGTCGACGCTTCATGGAGCCTCATCTGGTGTAAATGTGTTCGAGCGGCGGTGATTCTGAGATTTTCTGATGCTTGCTCATGGTTGAGTACCTACCAACCTAGGTCGTGAACGCGTGTTTGGGCGTGAGCACATGTATCGGGATTCCGGTATGGGGTGTGGTGTTCGTGAACCCGACTCGTAGCGTGCGAGTTCGACGCCGTTGTTGTTTGATGCAAATTATGCTCCAAAGACTATGATGCGATATTGGCTGCGTTGTAGAATCAATCGCTATAGGCTCGGTTAGAGTGAGGGGTGGCGATGCCACGAAACTGGAGGATGTATGTAGCCGAGTTTTAAAATCACTAAAACCAATTATCGAATTATATATTTACGTTATTCTTGTCGTATATGTACCTAGATACCTAGTTTCAGATAAATCAGATAAAGAAACATTTTCTAGTAAATATCTCATCGAAGTTCATCCGCGAAAC